CGGTAGTGCTCGCCGGTCTAGCTTGCCATTGGGCGTGAGCGGTAAGGACGGTAGACTCACAAAAGCCGTAGGTACCATATAGTCAGGCAGTAAATTTGATAGATATGTACGCAAATCCTGTGCTAATGATGTATCCGCATCTGTCACCACATAAGCTACCAGACGAGCATCTGATCCATTGCCATATGATTGTACAACCGCGTCCTGCACTTGGGGATGTTCCACTAAGCGGGCTTCAATTTCACCAGGCTCAATTCGGAAGCCGCGAATTTTTACTTGTTGATCCGTGCGTCCCAGATAGATCAGATTACCATCAGACAGATATCGTGCTCTGTCACCAGTGCGGTACATACGTGCCATTTGATCGTCACTGAATTGGTCGGGAAGAAAATGTTCTGCAGTAAGTTCAGGTTGATTTAGATAGCCGCGTGCCACACCATCACCACCAATATATATTTCTCCCTCGGCTCCTAGTGGCACTGGCTCGCCATGTGCATCAAGAAGGTAAATTCGCTTATTAGACAGCGGACGTCCGATTGGCATTAGTGAGCTCTTAGAATTTGTGACATCACTGATCCAACTGGTTGCAAAAATAACTGTTTCAGTGGGCCCATACATATTGATTATCACTGTTTGGTTTTCAGCGTTCTTGTCATACCAGTCTCTTACTATCAATGGATCTAACGCTTCACCAGCAAAGATAACATATCGTAGTCGATAGGATCGGGAGCTAACATTTTTCGCACACATGAGCGTTTTAAATGCCGACGGGGTTTGATTTAGCACAGTAATTCCATTGGTACAAATCCAGTCATGAAATTCATCCGAAGAACGTGTGACATTGAAAGGTACGATAGACAGTTGATTTCCACATGATAACGCTCCCCAAATCTCCCATACGGAAACATCAAATGAAATCGAATGAAACAAGCACCACTTATCCCGGCTATCAAAATCAAACTTTTCATGTAGAGATGCAATCAATTGGGTTGCATCACGATGTTCCACCATTACTCCTTTCGGTGTTCCTGTTGAGCCAGAGGTGTAAATGATATAAGCCAGATGCGATGGAGAGACTCCCAGCTTGACCACATCTGGATCACCAATTGGCAAATAATCAGGCAATGGTTTTTCCAAGTCAACGACAGGCACTTTATGTTCTCCGAGTACTTTTCGGCCAG